GCTCTTTGCCCTTGCTGTTGCCGTTATCATTGCTCCGGCGCGCCTTCACTTGGTTGCGGATTGTCAGACAATAGTTGACTTGTTTACCAAAATGTGCGCGTGTCATACTATTCCGGGGCATTGGAGTCACAGACCTATTTGGATGGAAATCCAACGCGTTTGGAAGCTCAAGCTTCAGCAATGTGAGCAACCAGTTCACCTTGAGTGGATGCCGGCACACACCTGTGACCACCAACCGCTTGCTGCCATTGCACCCGAGGCGACTTTTGCAAATGGGTGCCCCGGCTGGAAGGTTCGGGCTAATCGCTTGGCCGATGAAGAGGCCAAACGTATTGCTTCTCAACAAGCCATCATCAATGTGAACTTGTGGCCAATTGTTTTTGCTGCTGCCCACCGTCGACAAGCGGCCTTGGTTTCGCTCAATCAGATTATTGGATCGGAAGGCATTGTTAAAAAGGTCTTCCAAACAATTGAGGAGAACCAGCAGACCGATGTGAGTGATGACCATAAATCCAGATTCCCATCATGGAATTGGCATCCGAATGAGGCTGACTTTGCATGGCTACCCACTGCACATTGCTCTGCTTTTGCATTGCTCAATGACATTTGCCCCAATGAGGATAGTGGGACTTTCGGGCGTTTTTTGCTGTCATTGCGATGGAAACTTGACCCAGGCTTGTCCATCGCGTATGTGGAGATCGCTCATATTTTCTTGTCGAGACATTTTTCTCTCACCTCATTTGAGGCCACAGACACCTTTGGTTCCTTGGTCAGAGGTATCAAGAAATGGTGCAGCGACATTTTTGCCATCGAGGACCAATGTCTCCTTCCTGGTATTCACAAACGTGACGGCCATCATTCGTGCGGTTGGGCATTGCCTCGTGGGGTCATCGTCGGTGCCCGACCCTACATCACTGAAACAGAACTTCGGCATTTTGCCGATTTGTTGTTTGCTGGTGCGGGCAGTTCTCTACTGTCCTGGAGCTTCTCTATCGCTGACCACGGTGCTTAATTCATTTGTTTCCTGCCCTAGCTCTTTAGCTCCTCTTTTTCACTACCCGTCCAGAGTGACGGTAGTGATGCCTAGTTCAGTCGACTTGGCAAATATGGTGGAACAAGAAGCTACGAACGGGGCTCCTGGCATCGCTACGAACGGAGCAAGAACCACGTCACCACGTCACCACTTGCCAGTCGAGGTGCGGAACCATGGGCGTCGTTCCCGGAACCATCAGCGGATGCGGCACCTACCAAGAGAACGGTGAAATCACGGCTGAGATCGGTCGCGGCCGGCGATGGCCTCCACGGATGGGGATGTGTCACTCTGGTCGTTCGCCCCACACAATCGAACATGCTGGATCCGGTTTGCGCGGTGTCTTCGTCTTTCCCGGGGCTTGTGGAATCAGGGCTCCAAGCCATAGAACTACTGCCCACACAACCCCTTCTGGGTATAGTTGGACATATGCTGTTCATCTGCGGCCTGGCTAGAACCTCACTGGAACCAAACGAGTTCCCCCCAAAACCCGCCCCTCCGTCAGACGGTTCGGTGCGCCACCCGACCGAGGCCGAGCAAACGGCTCGGCGAAAGGCGACGACGGGCTCTTGGTGCGCGGACCCGGCGACCCGGTGGCCCCCGGCGGTCGGAACAAGGACGCTATTAGGAACAAGTGCCTCGCTAGTAGTAACAAGTGCCTCGCTAGTAGTAACA